TGTTGGCTATACTTTTGGTGTCACATCTAAGAAATCATTGCCAAAATCAAGAAGCTTTTTCCCTGTTTTTTTCCCAGGAGTTTTATAGTTTGGGGTCTTATATTTAAATCTTTAATCCATTTTCAATTAATTTTTGTGTATGGTATAAGGATCTAGCTTCATTCTTCTGCCTGTGGCTGTCCAATTTTCCAATACTATTTATTGAAGAGACTATCCTTTCCCCCATTATGGATTGTTGGCACCCTGGGCCAAGAGCCATTGAACATATATGCATGGCTTTATTTCTAGTCCCTCTTCCGTTCCATTGGTCTATATGTTTGTTTTTATGCCAGTACCATACTATTTTGATTACTGCAGCTATGTAATCAGCTTTTGAAATCAGGAAGTATGATGCTACCAGCTTTGGTCTTCTTGCTCAAAATTACTTTGGCTATTCAAAGTCTTTAATGGTTCCATGTGAATTTTAGTGTTTTTGTTTTTTTTTCCTTCCATTTCTGTTAAAAAGTGTCATGGTAGCAATCACCATTTGACAGTTATCAGTAAATTACGTAGTGGTATTACTGACCTACAGTGAAACATTAAGTATATACGAAAACAATGTTTAGGATATGATTCATAGCAATAGGATAAAGAAATACAGAGTTATGTTTGGGACTGAGTCTTGATTTAATCTGTGCTTTTTAGAGAGCAGGCAAAAGATCACCCATTTCCCCTACAATACATAGGCTCATTAGTGAGTTCTTTCCTAAGTTTAAACTTATTATTATTTCTGTAAAATGTTTTTGTTAATCCACTTTTAATAATTCTTTTCTCCTAAAGAAAGAGGAGATAAATGGAAATGGAATAGGAGTGAGACAACATTCTACAGAACTTTATAGGGAGAAATTTTTCTCTAAATAGGCCCCCCCAGTTTTTTTTTGGACATACTTTATACTGTTTTATTTGTAATGCAGTTTCATCCAGAACACATCAAAGGCACCCTTAGAACTTGATGATACAGCTAGCAGATTTTTTAGAGGATCTAGTAGGATTTTGTTTTGTATGCTGCTCATCCGTATTTGTCCTTGCCTTGAAGAGGTCCTAACTATTTACATAGGGTAAAAAGATATAAAACTCAAATCCAACACTGAGGGTCTCATACACTTGAGAATTTAAAACCCTGAAAATAGGTTTAGGGAAACTCTCTAGATCCCTCTCTTCCAAAATAGACTGGGATAAGACAGATAGGTTTTTGTTTTGTTTTGTTTTGTTTTATTTTAAAAAGATATTTAGAAACAGACATCATTTGGTGAACACTGATAAAAAGCATCTCCTGAAACAAAATATATGTTTATTTTATTAAGATATTTAACACATCTAATACAAAATGGAAGTAAATTAAACCTTTTTAAATTTTCATTTTTACCTTGGGGTAGGTAAATCACATTCTGTATTTTAGTTTCATCTATAAAATATTAATAGGTAATTACAATTTTTATCAAGGTAGTCTGAAGTATCTCAGAAAAAGGCACTACATAAATACCAAAAACCACACATCATTTATAAATTACTGTATTATACAACTATATTACTCTGTATACTGTTTTGTTCTTTGCATTTATAATCATTATCAACTTCTCACTACTTCCATTGGAATTTAAGAATACCTAGAAAACATAAATAGATGATATACAAGGATAATTGTAGAAAATGCTTCTTGAAGTTGAATAAAAAATAAAAATTTTCACATAAATTCCCTAATATAACTGGGGAATGAACCTACTCAGAAAGAATTCAATGAACCTACTCAGAAAGAATTCCAGCAAGATTTTCTTTTAACTGCAGACTTAATCATTGGAAACCCCATCAATGACCACATGATAACCAAAGTGGAAGAGATGGAAAACTGATCACTGCTTCAGTAATGTGTCATCTTGTAGTTGTTTAAAATCTTCCCTGGTATCACTAGAGACATACTAGTTGAAAGAGGGATCACTTCCTGATGCTCCAACCCAGAATATCCCCTCACTAAAAGGCTATATAGTGCTCTTCTCAGCCTCCAGTGCTTGTGTTCAGTGTTCATCTCAGGATACTACACTTTGACAGCTAGCTCTCACTGGACTTACTTGTTTTCCCTTCAGCTACTATCTCGAGTATGACCTATTTACCTCACCAGACTCCTACTTTCAAAACCACTACTGTTTTCTAAAGTAGTATTTAGAATCATTTAAAACCTTAGCAATTCACCAGATAAAACACGATGTGTCCTTGCATGCTATCAATTGTGTAAACCCGATTTTTCAGGTATAAGCTTAAGAGGTGATAGTGACTCTAAAGAATCTATTATGGAGAAAAAAAGAGAGAGAGAGAATCTGTTTTGACTCAAAAAACTTTTTTTTTAAAGATTTTATTTATTTATTTGACACAGAGAGAGAGATCACAAGTTGGCAGGAAGAGACAGAGATAGGGGGAAGCAGACTCCCTGCTGAGCAGAGAGCCCGATGCGGGGCTCGATCCCAGGACCCTGAGATCATGACCTGAGCCGAAGGCAGAGGCTTTAACCCACTGAGCCACCCAGGCGCCCCAAGAAACTTTGATAGTAATGTACAGCACTTTATAAAAAGGTAGCATAAGCTTTTTCATATAGTACATGAATCTAAGAAAACCATTTTGCTGCAAATCAAAGTGAAAAGATTAATGATAAAATATGTGAAATTGTATAGGATTGTAAGATGCTAATGTCTTTCCTCAAGTTTTCCAAATTTATTTTATATCTATTATAAAAGCCTTAATAAACATAGCACATAAAGAAATAGAATCTAAATGACAGATGTAAGAGGGCACCTGGGTGCCTCAATCAGTTAAATATCTGACTACAGCTCAGGTCATGATTCCAGGGTTCTGGGATTGAGCCCTGGCATCAGGCTCCCTGCTCAGCAGGAAGCCTGCTTCTCCCTCTCCCACACCCCCTGTTTGTGTTCCCTCTCTCACTGTGCCTCTCTCTGTCAAATAAATAAATAATATCTTTTAAAAAATAAATAAAAATAAAAAAGCTAAATACACAATTTTTCAATTACTATTTATCTTACTTCACTTCAGATCAACTAGTCTGAAATCAATGAGATACACAGGTAGAGAGATAGGATAATCAGATGAAAATTTTTATTAATTATTGAAGAAAGAAAGGATACACCCTAGGATCTTACAAAACTGATAATATAAATTATCTAATATGAAAATATATAGATGCAGTTAAAACTCAATTTCCAATAAAAAAACTAAAATATAGATTAACTTTCACTTCCTAATAAAGAAATGAAATCATAGACAAGAATAATAGGAAATCTATAACCGCATTTGATCTTGAATTTCAATCTACTAAGCTACAAGTATATAAAAAGACCATGATTGAAATTTGACGAACATTTTCTGTAGGAAAAAGCAACCCAAGAAAAAAAGAAACCAAAATCATACAGAAATAATAACAGTAGACTCTGTACAGAGGGACCAGGAAGACCAAAGTTTTATTCAAGTCTTTAGATAATTAGATTGTTGCACACAATCTTTAAATCTGTTGCACAAAATGTGCTGTCAAAGCCTACCATGAATAATAATATGTTTGTCACCCAAGAGATACCTTAAAAAATCATTTTCCAGGGTGCCTGGGTGGCTCAGTAGGTTAAAGCCTCTGCCATCTGCTCAGGTCATGATCTCAGGGTCCTGGGATGGAGCCCCGCATCGGGCTCTCTGCTCAGCAGGGAGCCTGCTTCCTCCTCTCTCTCTGTCTGCCTCTCTGCCTACTTGTGACCTCTCTGTCAAATAAATAAATAAAATCTTTAAAAAAAATCATTTTCCTTTGTACTGTACCCAAGAGGAATAAGTAATACTGTACAATGTATATTGTTTAGTATTATCTACCTTAAGACTGAATTCCTTTTTTTGTTATTATTTTTAAATAGGGATTTTATTTTTTAAAAGATTTTTTTATTTTTAGTTATTTATTTATTTATCAGAGAGCACAAGCAGGCAGAGTGGCAGGCAGAGGCAGAGAGAGAAGCAGGCTCCCCGCTGAGCAAGGAGCCCAAAGCGGGACTCGATCTCAGGACCCAGGGATCATGACCCGAGTCAAAGGCAGTGGCCCAACCAACTGAGCCACCCAGGTGTCCCTTAAATAGGGATTTTAAACATTACTTGCATAAAAACAGAAACCAAACCTTTAAACTTTTGTTTTAAACCTGAATTTTTCTTACAGCTTGTCATTTAAAAATCCTATTTTCATTCAGCATGTTTACACTGTGTACCTACTATGAACATGTCTCTATACTAAACACTGACATCTTTTTCAATAAAACTTTTAATTATTTATATACATAATATTATTTATTTGATTTTAATTTATACCTTCTAGTACTGAGTCATTTCAAGTTGCTTCATCCACTGTCCACTTTTTTAGGCAGACACAAAGAGTCAGTTATGAAACCTACATTTTTTTTCCACAGTAATTTTCCTTGTTTTTCTATTTGGGTTAATGTCATCTTGTCCCCACTCAGTTGTTGTGTTAGAATGTGGGCAGTGAATGAAGCAACTTGAAATGACTCAGTACTAAAAAGTATAAATTAAAATAAAGGCTCCTAGCCAATGTGAAAATTCCCTTAAACCCAACCAATATTAGAGAACCAGAAAAGACTGAGAAGGGGTAGTTTTCAAAACCATAACATTTCAAAAGACAAACTAAAGTTGGCATCATAAACTCAGGACTTAAAAAAGAAATAAGTTAGAAATTATTAAAATTCTACTTATATCTCTCAGCAAGACATTTGAAACTTGTTTCAGGTTACTGAAATATTTAGAAATAGATATTAGAAAATTGGTATCAGAAAAAAAAAAGTGGTGTGCCAAAGGCCATATTTAAATTAATGATGTTATCTGAAGTAAATTACACTCAGTAAAAATCTAACTTAATATTTGTGTCATGAAAGAACACATATAAATGACTAAACATAAGAATTAAGACTTCTTACCCCATATTTACATTGGCGGGATGTTGCTCCATATTGGAAACGGCATTGCTCATCAGCATCATACACCTGACCTGGGGCCACAGCTGGATAAAGAAAGTCACGCTTGGGAGGCTCATTATCAAGGCAAGTACCACGGCCTGAACTGTTCAACATAAAGGATCAAAGGAAATTAGGTACACTATGGACTATTTCCATCACAATTATGAAACCATGCGTTAAACTCTTTGTTTTAATAACTTGATGCATGAAAAGCAATACATTCTACCAACAAATAGTCATATAGTAAAACAGAATAATTTTACTGAAATGTGAGTAAGAGCTCCAGTTGTTTTTTCCAGCACCAAGACACAATAAAAGTATCTCAGACAACAATCTGAAACTGTCATGTTGGCCTTTAAACACTGATTTAAACTAATTTCTGAAGGAATCAAAATGGAATTTCATATTACTCTAAGCTTCTTGTTTGTTTTCCATGAAAATATAACCACATCTGGTAGTAGAATTAAAAACATAAAATGTGGAAAATTAAAAAAAAAACAACAACAACAACCACTATGGTTGTAATTCTTTAAAGAACTAATCTATATACTCCTCTAACTTGGGCAGAACAATAGATGCTGTAATAAGACATGTCCAAAGGTTCTTGAAATATTTCAATAATAAATGGGCAGAATGACAGATGAGGCCAAGATCCAAAGTTCTCTCAAGTAAATTAGAAGTGTTTAGTCTCTCAAAAATTTCATATTTCATCTAGGGTCATCAGAGTTGGAAAAGAGAATGTTCTCCTCTCTGCAATTTCTGCTTTTCAAAGTATGCTTGCACTCAAACATAATATTTTAATTCAGTGGAACAAATAACATAAAGATCGCCAAAAGCCAGACAGAATACCTTAGTTTAAAGAGCTTTATACTTTGCTAAATATAATTGTTCACTTTTTTAGTCAGTGTGCACAAAATAGGACAGATGCTTTTTTACTTTCATTTCACATGTGAGTAACTTAGAATTTTTAAAGAATTCCTATGCCAACATTTAAAAATTTTTTCCAACATTCCTGTCAATTGTGCCAGCACTTGTGTTTTTTTTCCCAAATCTTTTCCATCCACTTTGCCAAAGGAAAATAATTTCACAAGTAGAAGTTCCTCAACTATTATTTAGGACAGTACAAATTTTCATTTATAGATAAGTAAGAAAGAGCCATGTATAATAATGAGTTTCATATTCACTTACTATTTTGTCATATTTCTTAAAATGTAAAAGTTAATTTGCTATATAAAAATGTGTATTTGCACAGCAGCAAATTAATACGTTTTAAAAATTGAACCATACTACTCATAAGGTGATAGATTCAAAAACTCACAGCACAGAACACTGTCTTCTCTACACCCTTTCCTTTCCTTTACGCCCCTCTTGGTTGGTTTTTCATCAATAAAAATATTTAGATGGAATAATAAATATGATACTAATATAGATGGGTTTATTATTGGCTATTATAATCAATTCACTTGTTACTGTTCAAGATATTTAACAGAAAACATCTTTTTTCACCTAGCTGTCCAGTTTTCATGACTGAATGCTTTTTACTTCCTATTTATTTTACTTTTAGAAATTGACATGCACCTCAGTAAGAGAAAGTCTTTCTAGATGAATTTTAAAATAGCAAGCTCTTTTTATTTTATTATGTAAAATATCTTTAATCTACATAGATATACAAACTTTGGGCAAATGTAATTCTACCAGTAAATTCAAAATTTTATATTAAGATTAATGATAAATAGGTCAAATATGAAAAATATACTGAAAGAAGACAGACTATTTTGATAAAATGTAATATTCATGAAATAAACCAATTTAGCAGTTTAATCCCATAATTTTTTTCCTATTATATCAGTTTTGTCTCCATCTACAACAAAATTATAAAACTCTTTAGGAAGGATTGAAATAATTTTAAAAAAACGAGTTAAGTACTACTATCAATAAAAGGGGAAAATTTAAGTACAGAAGTATTTAAGTACAGGGTCTCATAGGCAGAAATGTTTGCCAATAACATAACAAAGCAAATATATGATATTCACCTAAATAGCATTAGCTTAAAAATCTACTAAAAATTATTATATGTAATTACTTGTAGATATAGAATATTAACCTAAAACTTACAGGAAGAACCATATGGATCCCCCCCAAAGAGTTTAAGAATAGCTCAGTTTTCTGATAGCAAACTGAAATTTGGCTTAATCCAGAAGGAAGAAAGAATAATTACTTCATCTAAAGTTCTTGTTCCCAGATATTAATGATGTTCTAATCATGGCTCATGTTCTGTAAAAAACACCATTTTTTCGACAAGGGCCTCCAGACAATAAAGAAGGCATGCACTGTGGTAGACAAAGTCTTCTGATAAAGTTTATTCCAAAAGTGGACTTTCTTTCAGTTTTTTATAAGCATTTATAGCTTTGTATTAATATGGTCTAAGTAAATATCTAGACAAGCCTTATTCTCCTTTTCTGTATATTTTTGCAGAATTAAACACTGTATGAAATAAAAAAGCATAGATCTTTATTAAAATGAATGCATATTTAGGAATATGGCATCAACAAAGGCCTTTTGAAATGGGTTTAGCTATAGTATTGTACAAACCACTAATTCTTGCATGTCAAATGTTTTACCGATTATCGGCTCTGGGAAAACAAGGGCAGGGATATCTCCAAGATTGATTTTAAATTGTTCCTACATTTTGGGTAGAAAATGAACAATATATTTTTCTTCTACGAACCATATTGGATATATATAGTAAAACCTGGATTAAACTATTTGGGGGTGGGGGAGTTTTCATATTTTAATTAACTGGAGGTTAAATGACAAAATTATTTTTTGCATAATATTATTAAAATTTGCTGCTTTCCTGATCCTTTCAAGTAAATTAAATACCTAGCTCACAATTATTTTAATTAACTCTTAGAAAATAATAATTCTGGATATTTCTATGCCTTCGAGTCATCAACTGCCATTATGAAATACCACAGATATAAGTATAGAAGGTAGAGGACATGGATCTGAGAGATGTATATTTAACCCTAGAAGTGGTTTTTTTTTTCTGTCCTCTTAGAAAATTCCCAAAAGCTCAACCCTAATCACACCCTTCACTCTCTGCAGAAGTAACTAATATTCTGACTTTTAATATAATTATTTCCATGCTTTTTTTTAGTAATTATTCATCTCTCAATTATTAATCTGCTTATTTTTGGAAAAAGGAGTCATAGTGTAGGTTTTCTTTTGTGACTATATTCTTTGGTTTAATATTATGAATGTGAGAAACATCCATGTTGATATACATAGCTGTAGCCTGTTCATTAATATTATTCTTTAATATTCCATTTAAGAGTATGGCACATTTATTTATCCATTCCTAATTTCTGAAAGTTGCAAAGTATGCTAATATGAACATTTTTGTACAGGTCTTCTGGTACAAATGTTTTTTTCCTATCTCAATAATACTAGGTGAGTTATTTTCTTATATTTTATAATTGCATCTATTTAATAAAATGGAGATATGAGTAATTGTTATTAAATCTAGGGTTCTAGCTAATTACAATAACCATACAATTCTTATGATGCTAAATCTAGTGTTATTTATGCTATTCTTTTCAAAATAATAATAGTAGTGGTGTTATATATAAAACTTCTTGAATTTTCTCATCAAATGTCACTTTTAAGCATAGATGATCTGTGCTTTGATCATATGTAAATTTTTCCACTCAGAAAACAGAAACCTAACTCGTTAATAAATTAAATGAAGAGTTCTGTTAGTTTCCACCTATGAGATACTACTATAAGTTATTGTTATTAAGCAGCGATATACTTGTCTCAAGAAAACCATATACATAAAAAGTAGAACTCTACTTCCCTAGCAGCATACATTTCACTACTAAAGCCCAATATTTATTAATACCTACAGCAATAAAGATGATAATAGACTCTACTTTTGTTTATGCATCTAAGACAAGACAGAAAAAATGTGTATTAGCTTGAGAACATGTTTTTTTCCTAGATTGAAATTCTTAGTAAATCAAAGTATATTTACATTTCCAGAAATCTTTGCAGCATGATAGCAAAATCATATTTCATGTATTCTACCTCTAATTTAGAGAAGTCTTATTTACATAGTTTGAAAATAAGCCTTGAAATGGGATCATAAGCCAGAGTTGAATCTTCAGCTAAAATGTACAGATCCCTATGTAAAATATGCATCCTTGGCTTTGTTTCCAGGATATATGAGCACATTCTCCTAATTGCAATTTTCGATTTATTTTTTACTTAAACAATTATACTATATAGACCTTCAACCTACAACACAGTGGGTCAATCTAAAAAATAAATTTTTCCTTATAACCCTATACCTATCTTAACAGTCTTTTAACAACAACAAAAATTTAACATTTAATGCCGCCTCCTATTTTTTACCACAAAATTATGCTCATACACCTAAATTAAATAAAAATTAATTAGACTGTATTATCTACGACAAGTCTTACGTACTATGTTATTGTAAACTGCTTTATCAGTCTTCACAAAACAAACAATAACTACCTTCTAAAATGAGTAACTAAGTCAGACCTTTCTCTCTCGCCCTCTATATGACTGGGATGCTTGAACAGAACTGAATTTGAGGCTTCTAACAAACACTGTACCGCTAATGATTTACTTGGTTATGCCCCTCTTCTCCATGTGTAGTTATGACTTATCAAAGATTTTTATGGGTTAGGGTGAAGTCCCCAAAACATGCCTGATAAATGGAAGGAGGGGAAACTGGTTTTGCTGTTTCTTAGGCTCCATATAAAAAGAGGGTCCCATCTATGAAATTGATTTCCATTTCAAGATTATTGATACTGACCTTCAAAGATAATTGCTATAGAGGAAATGTGAGTGTCTTAGTCATCCTGTTCATCTTATATCACTTTCCTTGTAGCTCTTCCTTTCTAGTTCACCTTCTACCATAATACTGCCTTTCTTTTATTCAGTTTCCATCCTTTCTGTGAAAATGGCTAGTCTGTATTTAATTTGGAGCTGTAGGAAATTTTGCTATGGATCTCTGACAGTTCAAACAATTTAACAGACTTTAATTTAAATAGAGCAAGAGTTGATTCACAGAGGCTCTGGAATTTTTGAAAACTATATGAAATTACTCTGTACTACCACTAAGTGATGGAAAATGTATGAAAAACTGGCCTAAACTACTTCTGGCTGCCTTCCACTGCCTGGTAAATTAGCCCATAGTCATCAATGAGTGTGAGCCATAATACCAGGTTCATCTTTCTCTATTTTCTAAATAAATAAGTAAATAAGTCCCGCAGGCAGATAGGAAGGACACTACCTGCAAAGCCGTCGTCGAAAACATCAGAAGCTGGCATAACACGTCCATTTTAACGGAAATGGGTTCTTTATTATTTAATCAGGACGGCTTCTGGGCGATTCATGAACCACTTATTGAATCACCGAGTTTAAGAAATCTGAAAAAAAATATTGGGAGTTGGTAAACACCATCTCCTGATTGATCAATAGCACCTAGTGTTTCAGAAAGACACAAGAGACTTTATTCTATTGGCATTTAAAGGCCATGGAATTGTTTTCAGTTGAACGTAGTGAATAGTGAATCTCTATAAATCATATAAAGCTCATTGTTAGAATCTACCATCATCTTGAGCCTTTACAGTAACTAAATAAAGAAAGGTATGCATTTTGTTGGCTGGGCTGCAATTCCTAAACAATTCATCTTTCAAGATTTCTTTTTCTTGAGAAGAGAAACTAAAATAAAATGTTATCAGTCTTTTTGAGCCAACTATAAAACATAAATGTAACCTTAATCCCTGATCAAAATATCATTGGATTTTTAAAAATATCACACATAGCTGCTAAAGCAATTAAGCCAACTGTATTAATAAAAAGGAACAAAGAAATTCAAGAAAGTTACTATTATGTCTTTGTGCTCCAGTGAACTGACCTGTTTAAAGGGCCCTGTGTTTTAAAAAACCTTATTTCTTGGTCAGATTATAATCAGAGTTGTTTAGTTTATTATTAAAAAGGGGAAAAAAGCCAACTTTCCCCAAATCTCTACCCATTGTCTTTCAATCTATCTTTTACTAATGGTTTTAACTGTGTAAGCATTCCCATGAGGATGTACAATAGAAATATTTTTATAAAATACAGGACAAATAAGCCCTTTAGAACCCTGTCAACACTAATCATGCTTACATACAAAATGCAAAGAGGCAATAAGGTTTAAATAATGCTTTTGGGATTAATTCTTTTAATTTATTCAATGGAACACTTTATTGCAACCAGTAATAATTTTATATCTCCCACCAAATCTGTGGTGATTTCTTAACAATACTTTACTAGTAATTTAGGGATTCCCTTTCCAAGTATTTTAATAACCTTAATATAGTTTATCAAGGCAGGGTCTGGCAAGACCTCAAAACTGGTCCTTGTATTAGATATACAAAGATGGTCCTAGCAAATAGGCTGTGCAAAATAAACAGGATAGGGTAGAAAGAAAATTGGTACTTGGAAAAAACAAAAACAAACCAAAAAAATGAGAAGAGAAGTCTTCAAAAATGCACAAGAATACTCAGCATATTATACAGTTTGTCTTTCTGGTGATAGACACTAAGATTCCATTATAAAAACATGAGCCAAGTCAAAGGAGAAATTCCAGATCTGGCTTGATTTCTGGGGAAAAAAGATCTTCAACACTGTTTAAAATTTAGGTAATATGATCTCATTAAAAACATCTTGGAAAATGATAATGCTAGTGCTTTGTGTTAAAAACCACCAAAAGATGTCAAATTTTCTGTGGTCTATTTTTATAGCCTTCAACCCAGCTTTGGCACTAGGCAAGTAGAGTGTTATAATTACCTATTGCTAACATTAAAAAAATGTTTAGGTTATAGCATAATTATTCTGAGGAACTACTGTCTGATATGAATTTCCAATTCCTTCTATTTTATTATTACATTAATTAATTCAAAAAAGCCATTTTAAACATTTATCTTTTGATCTCTGATTGATGAAACCATTGTGCTAAATAATTTAAAATCTCTTGTTCGGGTTTTAAAAATACATAATTTTAAGTTTTCAGAAGTTTCAGCTAATAGCAGATATGAACCAAAACTTTAATAAATAATATTACCTTATATAACTTATCTGAGTTTTTAAAGTTTTAGGCCCTAGTCATATAAATGTGAACTATGAATACAGTTTTTAAAAAGAATTTCTGTAGTTCATGTGTGCTTTTTCTATGATTCACTTTTTCACAGAGTATTTACTCTCTTCTCCCCAAGAAAACAATGGCACAAAACAGTTGAAAGTAATGATAGAGCAATAAGGCTTAAAGCCTCTATATTATTTAAAATAGTATTTACCATTTAATATTTGTCTACTGTGTTTCATATACATTATAACATTGTACATAATTTTACATATATATGTATGTGTGTATATATATATATATATATATATATATATATATATATAACAACCTGAAGATGTATGTATTATTACCTAACTCATTTAACAAGTGAGGTCACTGAATATTATGAAAGGTTAAGTAACATTCCCATGGTCACACAGTTAGAAAGTGAGACCTAAGTCTATGAGTTTCTAAAGTCCAAACCTAAAGTCCTATGCAGGTGAGATGTGAAAGAATATCTGCTTTCATAACACAGTTATACCTCAGCCTAATTTATTTATTTCATGTTTAAGTAGCCAGACTTTTAGATTATACATTAAAAGATCAACAAAGAAGTTATCAAACTGCAGAAAAGATGAGTCACATAATAAATATTCAAAGATAAATTTTCATTTTCTCATTTTCATTTACTGGGTGTTTGGTTTTTCGTTGTTGTTGTTTGTTACTGTTAGATACTCTAGCATTCCTTAAAAAAAAGAACTCAATTTTTTCAACAGCAAAATGAAATATATAATCACTGAATTAAAGTTTGGCCTATGCTCTATTAAACTGTGTAAATCTAAATTCTTTCTGACTTTGTTTCCCATTTATTAAACATTTCTGACACTCACATCACCAACCCCACTTACTGCCTTGCTCCAGTTTCTTTAATCTACCAAGTTCTGTTTGAGCATGAAGGAAAAAATTTGCCACAACGATATATTAAAGTATTTTGGGAACAGCCTGAAATATCACCCTATAAAAGTTACTCATTATGCAGTTTGAAGCACTACATATTAGGCTTCTACCAATGGCTTACTTCTGGAGCAATTCATCATCACTCTCAAGAGATTACTTACTCTAGAAAGCTGGTGATATAGTCTCGACTGCAGGCAGACCAGGAAAAAGGATTGGTATTTGCAGTAATGTGAGCTGCCATAAGTTTTGCTGCTTCATGACCTTTCGTCCCACAAGAATTTCCAATTCCATCATGGTTCATACCAAAACTGTTTTAACAAGGAAGAAACATAAAAAACATAAAAGAAAGAAATAGAAAAAAAAATTTTTTTAAATGAACCCCCAATATATCCTTATTTCCTTATTTCATCATTTGTTAGCCTTATCAACATATACCTTCTATCAATATCCTCTAAGGAAATACAGGATTCAAGTTAAGGAGACTACTGAATAATTCTCTGATACAACTTATTTTTAAATCTCTTTAACTGATCATATACTTCCAAAAATGTTAATTTACATGATATGATCTTTCCTTGAACAGATAGGGAATATATATTGATTCTCACTTTATAGGTACGAAAAACTGAGATTTAGCAAAGACAAATGACCTATTAAAGATCATACAGTTAGTAAGTGTTAGTAGAACCTGCCTTTTAACATCCTAGAGTTCATGCTACCTCACTATGCTGAATCTAAAAAAGAATTATAAAAAGATAGTTATAATCCATTGAGTTCTAAGGTCAAATGCAAAAATCATTTTTGTTATTAATATAGTGAAGGAGAATTCAAGACATGCAATTTATGTTTGTATTATATGTGTGTTTTCCAAACACCTTTTGAAAAATTTTAATATATTTAAGGATTATGATTATAGAGTTTTTCTTTACCTCAGTTTCCCTTCATTAGTCAAAGTTGTCTTTGCCATTTTCCCCCCATGCTTATAGCCATGCCTAATGCTATTATCAATGTAATATAAAAACATATCTCAATGATAAATCATAAATTTTTTCTATTAAGGATGTGAATAGAATAAATGTTAGTCTTTCTCCACAGATAGCTAAAAGCTCTCACTATTAGTGAAAAAATAAAGTTATGTACCCATTGTAACATCCTAATAAATATACCATGATATGTGTCCAAGGAAATAAGTAATTTGTATGACAAGAATATAAAATAGATGAAGACAGTTGCTAGAGAAAAAACTGGAAAGGTAGTTGAGAACAGAGAATTACAATAATGAAAGTATTTAAATATTAATTTTGGCAGTGCAGAGACATTGATGATTTCTGAGCAAGAGCAACTTAAGGTTTCAGAGTAGGAGAATATGGAATTGATCTGTATTTTAGACTGGTCATCATAGTAATTCTATGGTGGAGACATTGGAGTGGGAAGAGAATGCAGGCAGGGAAAGCAGATGGAAGATCATTACCAAGTGAGAAATGATGTAGGTCTGAATAGAGCACTGGAGAGGTGGGATTAGATTTGAGACATGTTTAGGAAGCTGAATGAACTGATCTCCATAAATATAATATAAAAGAGCCATAATAAAGACATATCATATGTGGGGCAAGGAGAAGAAACTAGTAATTCACATGGAGGAACGAACATAAGCAAAGGAAGAGAAATACCAAAGAGTGTATATCCAGAGCCCTAAATTAAAACACCAAGTAACCTGCCAAAATAATCAAAAACTAAATACACCAGTATTTGGTCTTCTTGTTTGACATCAACACACTGCAATAAGTCTCTTTGAATGATATTCTAGAAGCACGATGGTGGAGTTTACAGTTTATAGAAGTAGATAGAATTCTGTCAAAACAATCAACTGCAGCATTACACAAAAAAGTTCCATAATGTAATTTATAATTCAACAAACAATATTCTATACTTCTCTCAAAGGTTGATGTTATCTTGTGAATACTACTATGATTCTTTTCAAATAATGATAGCTTAAAAAAATTATTTCTTTTTCGCAGCAGCCTTATACATATTCCTGAATCTTTTGAAGATAGGTATAGGCAGACACAGATGGCTTTAAGAAAATTATTGTCGGGCGCCTGGGTGGCTCAGTTGGTTAAGCGACTACCTTCAGCTCAGGTCATGATCCTGGAGTCCCAGGATTGAGACATCAGGCTCCCTGCTCTGCCAGGAGTCTGCTCCTCCTGCTGACCTCTCTCCTCTAGTGAAACGTGCTCTCTCTCTTATTCTCTCTCTCTCTCTCTCAAATAAATAAATAAAATCTTTTTAAAAATGTCCTTATACAAGAAAATTATTTTCAAGATCTTCAGCTTCCTTACGTATTCTTTTCTTAAAAAAAATTTTTTTTTTATATCTTATTTCTCCTATAAAAGAAAAACTTATCCTTAACCATCTATAATTTTACAATAGTTCATTGCCTTGGGGTCTAAAAATGTGGGTGTCAAGAGGTACAATCAGAAACATTTTTTATCAGTGTTGAGAAAGAGTGATTTTAATGATTGACTAACATGTAGTTTCTTGTTTTCATCAAGTTTACAAGAGGATATAAACAAATTAACAGTTGACAGGTTGTTAAAAAATTTTTTTGATGCTAGATCACCATTGGTTATGTTCTGACAAATAATTCAAAAGGAGTTCAAAGAACTGAGTGATATTTCTACAGTTAACTCTTTTCATCTATTTCTGTGAACAAATTTTCTCAGCATTCAAATCTATAAAAACAAATTCAAAGAGTTGAATTGATGCTGAAATTTTGCCTCATCCTAGCAAGAGAGACAAACACAGCAATTGAAAATATATAACTAAAGGCACATTTTCTATAAAATTTTACTTTTAGATTTTACTATTTGTTAAAATATATAATATGCATATGTTTCTCTGATCAATCATTGGCTAACAATGGTTGTAATGTAATGAATATACAATCCAGAGAAAATTTTTTCTTCTATTACCACAGGAAATTTTGTGAATTAATTGCAACTTATATACATTTTTGTGATAAAGATGTAATTTAAATACTTTTAAATGTAAAAATATTTTTAAAATATATTAAGAAATACTGAAATGTACATCGGGATAATATTCTGGCTGAGAAAGAACAAGCAGATATATTGAGTTAAAAGAGTTAAAAAATGATGTAAATTTTGACTATAAAACAAGAACCCAGGGGTGCCTGGGTGGCTCAGTAGGTTAAGCCTCTGCCTTCAGCTCAGGTCATGATCTCAGGGTCCTGGGATTAAGCCCCACATCGGGCTCTCTGCTCAGCAGGGAACCTGCTTCCCTCTCTCTCTCTCTGCCTGCCTCTCTGCCTACTTGTGATGTCTCTCTCTTGCTCTGTCAAATAAATAAATAAATCTTCAAAAAAACCCAAGAACCTGTTCACATATTTTTTAAATGCATACCGAAAGTTACCAAGTTGTTGTAAGCATTTAGATTCAACTGATATATTTAAAAGAAGTATATAAAATTTTATTTTTTTACATGCTAATATTTATAGTGCTCTAGAAATTCTATCCTTTGCATTTAAAAGGTTAAGATTGTGTCACTTGTGACAACATGGGTGGACCTAGAGGATATTATGCTAAATGAAGTCAGACTAAGAAAGATAAAAACCATATGATTTCACTTATATGTGGAATCTAAAAAAACAAATGAAGAGACAAACAAAAAGCAGAATCAAACCTGTAAGTACAAAGAACAAAGTGATGGTTGCCAGGGAGGTAGGGGTATGGGCAAAGTGAGTAATGGGGAGTGGGAAATTAAAAAAAAAATTAAATATAATAAAATAACATAAAGATAATTTCCCTCCTGAGGAAAGTCTATCTCAGTGAAGAGTTGGTAAAAAGTGAAAATCATTAGTGATCAGAAAGAATAAACAAGAGTCCACTTTAAAACCACCATATTGACAAATATTAGAATGTTACCAAGAACTAAGAATTGACTTAGTGGTATAAAGAAACTGGTATAGAGAAATTGGGACCTTAGTGCACAATGGTTGTACTATGGTTAGGTCAGCTGTTCTGGAGAGCAATTCAGCAGGTCTTCATCAAATTAAATAGGCAGATATTTTATGACCCAACAATTCAATTCTTGGATATGTATCCCAGGAATATTCCCAAAGAGAACACGTATAAGGATGTTCATGACAAAGTTATTTATGACAGTAAGTTGTTAAAGATAATCTAGGTGTCTGTCACTGGGGAATGGATAAGTAAATGCTGGCATATGTATATTATGGGATACTAAGCAGAAATTGGAAGCAGCAAAACAAGATAGATGTCTACATGTAAATATGGGTGAATCTTAAAAATACTAAAAAAATTAAGAAAGAAAAAGATCTATATTATTACATCATATCAATATATAAGCAAAAATTATATACATGCTCAGATAACAAAGAAAGGCCAAGGAATTATTCCAGATTAAAGACTACATAAAAATAATTAAATGCAATAGAAACTAGATTGGGGGGGAGAGTACAAAAAACACCGCTCAGACAACTGAAATTTGAATACAGATTGCATATTTGATAGTAGTATATAGTGTTAAATTTTCTAGTTTAATAATTATACTGTGCTATAGAAGACATTATTTTTTCACAAATACTGAAATATTTAGGGATAAGGCACATGTCTACAACTTGCTGTCAAATAGTTGAGAAAAAAATACATATACATATAAAGAAAGAGAGATGTAAAGCAAATGTTGCAAAATATGAACAATATTTGAATCTGAGTAAAGGGCACATGGGTAATCCTACCTCTGCATCCATTTTTCTGTAAACTTGGAATTATTTCAAACTGAAAATTTGTATTCATCAAAAAATAAATACATACATACACAAACAATCTGTGCTATTTTACAAGGACACATATGGATTCAAATATACATATTAAATAAAAAAAAAAAGAAAGTGGAATGGGAAATGGGATTATAGAAACAAATACATTATTCACATATATTAAGTAAGAAGGGCCCTTGGTGGGACTGATAACGATGTTGTACCAAGAACTAAGGATACACTGATAAATGCCATTCATAAATGCCAGATAGATAGGTAGTAAAGTAATAGATTGATTAATGTAAAATAAACTCAACTCACTGCTCTTGAGTTTCACAAATGATAATTTAAAAAAGAATGAGAGCAAGAATAAAAGAGTTTGGTGACATGGGGCAGGCACACCCCCATGAGTGAACAATGGTAATAAGACAACACCTCCACGGTTGGTTTTATGTGTTCAATAAAACAGTTCAGGTTACATAAAGGTAAATATTTTCTTTTGAGGAG